ATTGGGTTTAGCGTTAGAATTGAGATGAAGACAGGAAATAAAGTTTCGGTATGTAGTGCCTCATAGAATTTTTCAGATGCTTTTTGAAGGACTTCCTTTTTCTGTTGTAAAATGCTTATCTTATTGATCAGGTATAACCCTATTACTAGGATAGTGACAAGTACTGAAGAAATGCATATATACGTTGGTTGTATAATTGTTTGTAGTGTTACGTAATGATGTTAGAATCGAATACAATTGATCTATGAATTAAACCGAAAAGGCAAATTAATGTTTGCAGGAAGTTATTGTAGGGCCTGAAAACAGAACAGCAACATCCGCTGACAAGTTTCTAAGGGTCAACCTTATTGGAGATTTTGTTGGATATTCAAGTATTCCTACATTCGAGGACTTCTACCTGGTCATTCCAAGGCAGGTCAGCTTGCCTAGAGGATACTGTTATGACTGTTGTACGCAAGAATTATATAATCCTGCTAATAGACACATTTTAGACAATGTGGTCATCTTGTTAATTGCTTTGAGAAGGCTTTTTCCTTGGCACTTGACAAGAAGATGATTAATTAATATTATCAGGTTGTTGGCCAATTTCTGTACTTACAACATAGTGATCATATGTTATTTACAACTTAATTTGAGGCCAAATAATGATTCTCTTAAAATTCTGCATATATATGACCATTGAACAATTATTTTGATTTAAAACACGAAAATAACCGGCAATTCTTAAAATTGGTGATGGCGCTTGAATTGGAATTTAGAACCTTTTATAGGCATTACTTGGGTTTCCTGGTTTTATCTTCTCATTGTTATTTTAGAAGGTACATGCTTATAATAACTGTTAGCGTATATTGTAATGAGTTCCTGTTGAGCATGAGAAGTATTCCAACTAGAAGTCAGTTGTGCTCTTTTTTCTTACCTTTTAGTATGGGAGATTGACTACAATATGCATGACAATGTAATTTATGTTGTTTCAAATTTTGCTGGATATCATCTTCATTTGTTTATGGCTATTTTGGTGCAAATTCAGTTATTTTGTATTGCCAAAACTCTTGTTTATTCCTTCAATGACAGGGTGGTCCAGGTCAACCCAATGGTTTGGGAAGGAATCTTTCTATGTGGATGCTGCTTGAGAGAGTGAGATTTACCTTAGATGGTGTTGAATGCAACAAAATTGGTGTCGGTTATGAGGCTTTCAATGGTCAGCCAAACTTCTGTTCAGCACCATTTTGGAGTTGCTTACATAATCAGTTGTGGAATTTTTGGGAAGTTAGTATATAAAACTATAGTGGTTCTAATTTCTCTAACTAGTTTGGTTCAAGAATTAGCAATGAAAAACTTATGATCTTCTATTTTCATTACCTTCATATATTTCTGTCATTGTTAACTGAGAAGACACTGCCTTATTGCTGGCAGGCTGACCAAAACCGAATTAAGAGGAAGCAAGTTCCATTGTATGGCGTGCAAGGGAGATTTCAAAGGATAAATGAGCATCCAGTTAAGATTCCAAAATAGTGCATTCCTTCCATGCAAATCTCTCCACATTATAGGAGGGTTAATTTATGTTTCCCATTTGGCTGCAGGGTGCAGGGTCTCGTTCATTCTCGATAGGAGTGACGGAAGTTCTTAACACAAACCTCCTAATAGAACTAAGGGCTGATGACATAGATTTCGTTTTCCAAAGGTAAGTGTTGGAAAAATTGGTTATTTTGTAACAGTAAGTAACGCTGCTACAATTGATTACTATCACTTATTATAGTATAGATGACTTGAATTCATTCTAATTATTTTCAGCTTGATGATATCAAGTCTTTGATTACTTATCATCTAGGACAAAGTATTGAGGATTATGCTTTTTGTGTTGGACTCGCAATATATAGATCTTTGTTGTCCTGTATGCTTCTAGGCAATTAATTACTTCTTACTTATACTATCACTCAAAACATTTTAAAGATTACTTATGGTGATTGATGCCTTCTGGCTTCATGTCTAAGTGATACCTCATCTTTAATGCTTTGTTCGTACTTGATGTAAATATCACATATACTTTCATCTTTTCTCAGGAGTCCTGGAAAAATCATGAGTGTAAAAGTTCCAACATTTGAAGCCCTCACTCAGTTTGGGGTTGCCACGATTATGGTTACGAATACTGGTGAAGTAGAAGCATCATATAGCTTAACGGTACTCAGATACATACTATTTCTCATTATCTTTCATAAGTATTAAATATGAGTTTCCATTTGAACAAATATACTGTTTTATGTGAACTTTTATTGCCACAAGTATTAAATATGAGTTTCCATTTGAACAAATATACTGTTTTATAGCTCTAGTTTCAGTTATGATGAACTTTTTCCTTGTGCAGTTTGACTGCTCAAAGGGCGTCGCCCTTATGGAGGTATTTTCTCTAAACTTTCTTAATGTATAGTGTGCACAGTTAATCATGGTTAATCAAATAATATCGAAATTGCTGCAGGAACAATTCTTCATTATGAAGCCAAAAGAAATTTCATCTCGATCTTTTAAAGTCTATCCAACAACTGATCAGGCTGCAAAATACGTTTGTTATGGTATGAATTGAAAGGAGGCTTTTAAACCATCTTTAATCATTTTCATTTTATATTCCAAAATTTAACATCACTACGATTTATACATTTCACTCGACATGCTTTTGCTTGACATGCTGAATGCACAGCAATATTGAAGGACTCTGAATTTAGTGAAGTTGACAGAGCAGAGTGCCAGTTTAGTACTACAGCTATTGTTCTTGACAATGGATCACAGGTATGATAAGCTTATGCAATGGTTTCAAAAAAGAAATGAATATAAGGTTCGTAATCTATGTTGCACCGACTCGATTTTCTTGAAAGAACATATTGAACATGCTCATATCACATCCATCACACACCCGAGTTCAAGTAACATAGTTTTTATACAATCGAGGCTTGTTATACTTCATTTTATTATCTGTTGAGCTTCATTAAATTAGCCATGTGCATTGTGAACCATAAACGCTGTGAACTATCAGTTGGTGCTCTTAATGTACCAAGTAAATCTCTTAAACTTTGAATTTCTTTCAGATTACTCCTCTCCAACAACCGAAGATTGGCGTTTATGGTTTCTTCGAATCTCTTAAAAAATTTTGGAAAAACCTTTGGGAAAGTTTGGTGGACTTCATCACCGGAGAAACTTGCAGGTCATTTCGACGATTATATTACATATGTCCATTTCTTCTAGACTATGCGGTTGACTCGATGTTAAATTTGTTTCCTTTTGCTGTGTAGAAGGAAATGCTCGGGTTTGTTCGACTTCAGCTGTCATATACAATATATCTGCATGAGTTGGATTCTACTCTTCGGTTTACTCTTGGCGATATTTATGACTGGTAAACCCTTCATTCTTATCAAGAAACAAGTTAAGGGAAAATGCAAATAATATGCGGATCACATCACATGGTATTTTGAGTTGCAGTGCTCGTGTTGCTATGGCTCTTACATCAAAAAGGCTTCTTTGATCCCCTTTATGACTGTTTCGAGGATCATTTCGAGTTCGGTGATCATGGAGCTAATGATGTCCGTAGGCACGGTATCAATAATTGCCGCTACCCGATTCATGGCAGAAAGCGTGTCAAGACCAAGCACCACAAACGCGATGCTCGATATAAACGGAGCGGCATTCACTATGATCACCGGCACAATCATTCCGACAGGGAAGACGATTATCATCATTACCTGCATCATGTTCATAAGGACAAGCACAAGCACAAACATAGGCATGTCAGGAGCTCTAGCATCATACAAGAAATCCAGTTGGATAGAAGGAAACATGATGATGTCGGACACCACAAGCATAGGAGAGCACCAGAGCTAATAGAAAGACCATTGAAGCTGAGATAGAGATAGTTTACGTCATACCAATGGGAGGTTATTTTTTTTAAGTGAATGATTAGATCCAAGTTTTAATTTATTTTCTTTTCATTTAAATATAATATATAATAACTTTATTTGAATGAAAAATTATATATTGAGTTTGATCTTTGAATCTAATAATCTAAATTAGATGTCGTAAAGAGAAGAATTGCTTAAATATTGTGGTGGAAAAATTTACTTGAATGAGATGCACCAATTATTTTTTTATCTATGATGATTATTACAATAACCCGAAGATCTTGTTAAGTCTCGACAATGATTTCAAGAAAACGTGTTGAATGCATAGAAATTTCATAATTTCGTTATGCTTACAAGATGAGGTCTCATGATGCTTACGTGCATGTTACCTGATAATGATACAATATGGATGTAATAGAAAATGAGAAAACTATCATGCACACATGACAATCTCACAAAACTATCATGCAATTAAAACATTTTCTTAAAATCATATAATGTAATAAAATCCTCAAATTAATCGTAAAATAATTTTTTTCAAATAATTTTTTTCACTACAATGTCCAAACAATTTTGTTAACTACCAACATTATATATATATATATTGAATCATCGTTGTTTTCTTAAAGAAGGCCACCTAATCAATTTCTTGGTAAGTTTGACCTAATAGGGCGGAAAGATTTTTTATTTAGTCCAATAGGTCTATTAAATTTTATTTTGAGATCTACAACATTTGTTACAATATTATGGAACTTGTCACGTTGAGGTGACGAGTTCTAGTAAAAATATTTTTTAAACTTTTTACTTTGATGTGATAAAATTTAATAAAAAATATATTTTATTAGAACTCGTCACCTCAACATGATAAGTTTAAATAAAAAATATTATTTAGATAAACTCATTATCTTAACGTGACGAGGTCGTTGAACACTACAGCAAATGTCATATTCTCCAAAATTAAAAATCGTGTGTCCTAATGTACTAAATAAAATATCCGGTTACCCTAACGGGTAAAAAAAACCAATCAAGTTCACAGTTTCAGCCCAAAACGAATAATATAAACAGTGAAACGCAACCAGCCCACGAATAGCTTTCAAAGTGGCCGGGGGTTAGGTCAGGTCGGACAGTAGTTTCTTCTTTATCAAGTTGGCACTTTCTTAGACGCGCCTTCGTTTCGCTCCCTAGTTAGCTCTCTCTATTGGTTTTGAGCTAGAAACTTTTTCTGCACTCTCACATTGAGGAAAATGAAGAAACCCTTTAACTCAATTGCAACTCCAAGCAAAACCCACTTCCAAGAAAGTGAAGAAGAAAGAGAAGAAGAGATGGATTCTTCATCCGAAGAAGAGAACTCTGATGACTCCATTGATTCTGATGAAGTAGGTATATTTCACCATGGCTTAAAATCTTATTCTCCCAATTTTCAATTGATTATATTGCTTCCGTGTTTCTGGGAGAGTTGTAGGAGGAAGAGATAGAGCGTGAGTTAGCAGAAGTTACATTCGAAGAGCTACAAAAGGCACGAGCCGATGGTACAGATTCAGTTTCTCGTAAACCCCGTTCAGATGCCAAGTACCGTCGCGCTAACAGGAATAGGTAGCTTTTTTACGATTCGAGAGATATGATATTTTTTTGCTTTCGTTTAGGGAGATTTTTGTTTTCTGTTTTCTGATTTGTGTTTTATATAGGCCAATGGAGCTTAGTAGCAAGAAACCAGTGAAATCTTTTAGACAGGTTATTCAAGCTCCTAAAAAGGTAAAATGTGTGTGTGTTTTTAAGCTTTTTCTTTTGTTCTGAATGTCATAAGAATAACATATTAAATTGTATAATTGTAGTTTTACTTACCTAAATTAATGTTATTTAAGTTTTGCTTTAATGGATTTATGTGCCGGGTTGGCTACCTTTGTAAGATGTTAATTGTGTCTCTGTTATCTGAGCTTATAATTTTCCTTAAACTATTGAAGTTGGTCTTATGATTTATGTTCATGGATTTTCTTTTCTTCTGTTTTCAGCTTTTGTGCTTATAATTGATGTTAATATGATTTGCTAAAGTTCTATATTTTGATTTGTGTAAATAAATAGCATGCACATTGTTGTTTTATAAATTTCACATGTCTAGTAATTTATGTGCACAAGATCCCAGCTATTGTAGCATTGATTCTGATGGAAAATCGCGATAATTATGTTTTCATTTTTCGGGAAAGGGTATCACTTGCTGCTTCTTGTTTTCAATGGTAAAAAAGAATAAAGAACACTAAAAGGTGAATTAAATCGGTTTGCTTCTTTCTGTTAAGGTGGCACGAGACCCCCGTTTCGAATCTCTATGTGGTACACTTGATGTTGATGGGTTAGCCTCTGCTCTCTTTATCATTCAGTCATTTACATTGAATTCATTTGTTGCTTTTCATGTTCAGTTCTCTACATCGGTCCTGTTGCAACTTTTATTGCCCTACACACAGTTTAACTGCTCTTATCTCTGCGTAACAGACAAGTGGGATGAGGAGTTTTTAATGGATTAGTCGTTATTAATCTATTCCATGATCTTTAAGGACAACTCTTTGATTTGTCGGCTGAGCTTCATACGTTAGTGTACTAAATCCACCGCAAATATGTTACTGAATGAGTACTGCGTGGAATCTTGTTTATCTTTTACCGATCTATGGAGCTTTGATTTGATAGTAGTATAGTTTACCATGTGACTGCATCTCATATGTGCTCATAATAGTTCAATAAGTGATGATCGACCACTTGGTTGAGGTAGCAGTTGATGGTTGTGACTTTCTACTTTCCGGATTATGTCTGTTGTTGACATATTGGCTTTTCCTTAACCTGCAACTGATGATTATTTTTTTTTTTTGTTTTGCAGATTCAGAAAAAGATATAATTTTCTGTTTCAGAACAACCTACCAGCTGAAAGAGAAGTATTCTCATCTATTTGACCTCCTTTTAGGGTTTATCCTGATCTTCCAATGATATATTTCCCCGTTATGACAGGAGGTGCAGAAACGACTCAAAAAAACCAAAGACCCAAAAGTCATTAGTGAACTGAAGAACCATATTTCTTGGATTGTAAGTAATATATCTATTCAGTATAAACCACTACAGTCTCCAGGGTATTGTATATGGCCCCTGGATACATCAAAGCACCTCCCTATCAACTTATTTACGTTGGATCGTATATCAGGATAAGCAATTAAAGTTCGAATCAGCAAAGAATACCGACGCAGAGATTCTGGCTGCACACAAGAAGAAAGAAAAAGAAGCAGCAAAGCATGGGAAACACCCTTTCTATCTTAAGAAATGTATCGTCATGAATCCTCTCCCTCTCAATATAGCTTTTGGAATCTTGTGTTGGTATCCATCGACTATAATACAGGAAACCGTAATGTTGTATCAAGTCGTATTCCTACGAATCCGTTTTAATGGATGCTAACTTGGATTACTCTTTTGCAGCTGAAATTCGGAAGCAAAGGCTTGTTGAGAAGTATAAAAAGCTCAAGGTACACATTCGACATACCTTGTAATTGAAACATGTTCCTTATGACATTGACTGTCTCAACTGATTAACTATATTGATGATATATCATCAGGCATCCGGCAAACTCGAATCCTTCATCGAGAAAAAGAGAAGGAAGAATGCTGCTAAGGATCATAGGTTCATGCCCTATCGTAGACCCAACAACAGTGAGCAACAAAGCTAAATGATTCTACGGGTGGATAAGATTTGCCCTCTATAGGTGGTGATGAGATGAGATTAGGGTTTTGATTGGTATAATAAAACATCCTCCTTGAGGCACTGTGCTAACATTCAATGAGTGAAAGAAAATGATGATTTCGTTCTCACTGTTTTGAGATTTTGCTTTATAATTCAGCTATTTATAAATGGGCGGATTTGGTTTGACGTTAATTTTATTTGTACCAAAATGTAACGTATCCAAGCATTTCATGCAACCTCGAGATTTACCTTTCAAATGACCTATAGCCCAGGCCATTTTCCAGCTCCGCTGCCTTGCCAACCGGCTCATGCCACGCCAAGCAAGGATCACGGTCCAAGCACCACGCGAGTAAGGTCGTGCGAAAAACAGATACTCCCTTGACTCAGCTTCCACCCCTCACGACGCACACCAATCTCTTGACGCAACAACCTATACTTCATTGCTACCCGATCCAAGATTACCATCCATGCGACAATCACATGACGAGAGATGTGGAATGGAAACCACAACAGTTTATGCCACCCCACCTTCCCCCTCGTCGCTCTCGTCTCACACCAGATTTTCCGGACATGAAGATGCGCAAATCAGCCACTCCATCAAACACAACACTCGCCGCTATTCGCAAGGAAAAAATCTTTCTTAAACTGCAGTTCAGACCACCCCGGATCAAGGTCTAGACATCTGCACCTTTAACCACATAAGACTGCATCCAAGTCACCCACAAAGAGCCCTCATTTGTCAACCACTTCTTAAGCAAGAGAGAAAAACATGACCAGTTCCAACAAGCCAGGCTCTTAAGATCGAGTCCCCCCTCCAATTAAGGGAGCACACTTGATCCCAACTCACTTTGGCACCGGTGGTCGGAACATCAGCACTCATCCAGAAGAATCGCATACAAATTTGATGAATTACAAACGCCCTGCGTAGCAATGCAGTCTATGCTTATGCTGCCAGTAAAAAGAAAATCTAAATTGGGCCCTGAAGTCTAAACTCTAATTGGACCAATAGTAGACCAGCCTGCAAGCTCCACCTTTAGGGCGTGAGGCGGTTGATCGGTAAATAAAATAGTCGGCGGTTATCAGAACAACTATCATAGTATTATCCTTTTCAGGCAACAACAACAGTCACTAAACGAAACACTAAAACAGGAAAAAGAAGACCATACACTAAAAGAATCCTTAAACTTCTTTTCTTTTTTTGTAGATTTTGTATGAACTTTAACGTTCTGTTGATTCTCAGGGGAAAGGGGTAGTAGGCCTAGCATAAAGCTTAAAACTGCAGTGAAGGTCATCCATATCCTCTGCATTTTCGATTTTTACATTGAATTAATGGGTTTTTTCTTTTCTTTTTCCTTACAAAAGTTTTTTTTACAGGATGATCGTAGGAGCTCAGCTGTTGAAGATGAGAATTCCTTTTATCATGACGAAGGGGCCGATGATTCTCGTGATGGTAACCATTTCTTTCTTCTATTTTTTGCTAATTTGAGTTTTTCTTTGTGGAGGGATAATGTTTTATGATTGGATTTGAAGGTGAAAAAGAAGGGAAGAGGAGATATTTTAGCAAATTAGAACTAAAGCCCGACCATGCGAATCGGCCGTTATGGGCTTGTGCCGACGGCCGTATATTCTTGGAGACATTCTCTCCTTTGTACAAGCAAATGATTTTCTCATTGCTATAGCTGAACCTGTTTGCAGGTATTGATGTTTGAATTGTTTTTCTTGTTGTTTGCTTATTTGGATAATTGGATGCATCTCTTTATACGGTTATGGATGTGAATTTTCCATTTGTGTAGACAGGAGTCGATGCACAAGTACAATCTAACGCCGCATTCTCTGTATGCCGCCATATCCGTGGGGCTGGAAACGGAAACCATTGTATCGGTGTTGGATAAACTGTCCAAGACCAAGCTTCCTAAAGAAATGTTTGATTTCATACATGCTTCTACTGCTAATTATGGAAAAGTCAAGCTCGTACTCAAGAAGAATCGTTACTTTATCGAATCCCCGTTTCCGGAGGCAAGTTGGTTGGTCATTGTTTTAGATGATTGTCTGATTTCTGGAAATTTATGAGTTAATTGGTATTCATTGTTTGGTGATGTCGATCGCAGCGTTTGTTGCATAATGTGAAATGAATTTGTTGATTTATTTTGTTTTAATTGCAGTTGACGCAAAGTCATGTTTCCCGACTGATGTTATCTTCACGCTTTTTATAGAATGTGCATGGAAGTGATGGATTTACAATCAGCAAAACTGCGGGTGAAATCGAAACCGGCCATGATGGTTTGCTTAAGAAGCAGAATTGGCTGCTGCTGCCGAAGAGAAAGAAGCCCATCCATTCGAAATCGACCGTGCTCAGGTGGTTCTACTTATTGTTTGACTTCGTATTTCAAGTCCATTATTATTGCTAGATCTCTTTGAGGATACAATTTTAGGGCCGTCTTTTTGTTCGTGCAATCATATCTTTTTCATGCAAATAAATCGGTGATGTTGGACCATAAGTTCCTTAGCTTATAGTTTGATGGAACATTGATACGGTTGCAGAGTTTTTCGGCCGATCTTTACGAAATGTGATAATCCTACATTTAACTATATCTTACCTTGTACTTTTTGCATTGACAGGTTGAAAATGTGAAGCAACGATGCCTGCTGAATGCTTTAAATTATCCAATGTTAGAGGAGTACGATTTTCGAAATGACACCGCGATTAACATTTTTCTCGACACTAATAAAAAAAGTGGTTTCCGATAAATGGTGGCAACTGAGTCCATATTATTCAGGTCCTGATAATATCTTGGTTTTTTTTTTAATTTTTCCTTTGACGTATAGGTCAATTCCGACCTCGACATGGAACTGAAGCCTCATGCACAGCCACGAACATATCAGGAAAATAGTCTTAGTAAAATGTTTGGAAATGGTATGTGTCGCAACCGTCTTTCAGTTGGGCCCCGGAATTGGGCTTCGACTTGAAAAATGTGGATTGGAGTCGCCACCGATCATTTATTTAAAAATAAATGGGTTGATCGGATACCCTATTTCTTACCTGGTCTGCGTCTTACCAGAGATGTGTCGGATTCGGGAGTCGGTTACAGTCAAGGAAGGGCTAGCACCCTTGAACTGCCCTTTCGGTACTGTGTAATTTCCAGTTGTCTTTAATTAAGAAAATTGAAAGTTAAATTAAAAGGTAAAATATTGATCCAAATTGCTTACCACTGATTCGATTTAAAAGTATACCCTTAAAAAAGTCATGAGAAGCGTTAACAAATGGTGGTGAAAATAAATCAAAAATAAAGAAAGTGCAATAAAGAACAAAATAGACAAAAATAAACAATAAACATAATTAACATAAAGGTAGAGAACATGAATGAAACAAAAATAAGGACAAGCATAAAAACGTAAGGTAAAATAGAGAAGAAAAAAAAAATAAAATAAAATAAAATATGGCATATAAATAAGACATTAGAAAGATAATAATGAAAATTACATAAAGTATACATAATATATACATATATAAATATATAAAATATTAGAGGAAACACAATAAAAATAAAATAGAAGATAAGTAAACAAATGATAAATAAGAATAACGGTAATAATGATGAAGATATAAATAATGGGAAAAATAAAAAGATATATATAAATAGTAATAAATGAATAAAAACTAAAAAAAAACTAAAATAAATAAATAAATATAATCAAATATGTACGTATAAAATACAAAAGGAACAATGAAAATAAACTAAAAAATACAAAGTAGAATAAAATGAAAATGATAATGATGTTAAAAAACACGAAGACTATATATAAATAACAAAAATTATTAAATAAAACAAATGAATAGAAATAAATATACAGATAATAATAAAAGAGAAAAAAAGAATATATGTTTATATACGCTATCAATGATACTTAAAATAATAAAAATAACGATAATTATATGCATATATATATATGTATAATAAAATAAAATAAAAATATACATAAAATATATATATATATATATATAAAGGAATAAAATATAATAATAATGAAAATATGGTATATAATAATAGCAGGGACTAAATTGAAAACGAAATAAACTCAAGGGTCAATTTAAAAGGATTTCAGATTCAATAATCGATTCAGAGGACCAAATTAAACGTTTTTGAAACTGGAGAACCAAAACGCAAATCTCTCGCTTCTTACAAAAACACGCGGGTCCGAGGTTCATCGGGTCGGGCATAAGGCTGAAACGGGCTTCATATGTGACTCAAACGATTTTTAGTTTCATTCCTCTCTGCAGAAATCAAAAAACCCTCCCCTCCCATTTCATTTCTCTCTCGCCTGTTCTTCAAATATGAAGAACACGGCGGGTTTTCCAGAATCCGGTAACCACACACCGCCTCGCCGCCGCCGTTCAACGGCGGCGGCCACCGTTCATCGGCGGTAAAACCCCAAAAAAAAATTGGTTTTTCTGAAAGCCCTATGTCTCAACGTTTTAAAAATCGAAATACTTTTTGAAACCGAGCCTCGAGGAGCCAAAGATCTATGGAAGAAGATCCTGGTCCCTAATGTTCATCGGCTCAAATGCTCTCTTTTGGGTTTCTTTCGAACCAAAGCTCAACAAAGACACCAGACAAGGAAGAAAACACGCAAAAGGTATGAACTTTTTACCTTTCTTTTCGAAATATTTGCACGAAACCCTCGAGAAAATCTGAATGCTTGGTTATGTCTTGCTGGTAATTTTGCTTATAACTTTACTTGTATTCAGTATGAAAGAAAAAAAATCCCCCCTTCCACTGGGTTCTGATTACATATTTATAGTATAAGAAAAAAAACTGTCCTTAGAGATTGAATCCGAGTAAGACTCGGTTTGGTTGTTTGGAATCCCACTAACACACGCTGCTTTGCTTGGTGTCTTATGTGCTTACGTGTGCTTTCCTTGCGCCGAGGGAACCGGATTTGTTGAATGGCTGATGAAACTGGCGTGGAATGCGACCGTATGATGTAAGGACTCCTCGAGCAAGGGCTTATGACGCCGTGGAGACTTGGAACACTAGGGTTCTAGAAACCCTAGTTCATTGCTGGGAACCGGCTTGCCATTTGGTCTGGGCCATCTTGTTTAGGCCTGGAAACATGAAATAAATAATAAAATAATAAGATATGTGTTTAGTGTAATATATGGATGAATGTGAAATAACGTGTCTACAGCT